ACATCGGGCTTCCGATAGCGGAAGCATATGGAATGTTTTTCATTTATTTCCTTTCTAGATTATTTTTCGGGCATTGGTTCAAATTGAACCTATCACCATTCTCAATGCGAGTTACACTTGGTGAACAATCATTTATCCGTAATCTCTCTAAAATTTTGTTGATATATGTTTCCTGAGTCGCCCTAAAATACCTCGTAATCTGTCTCTATGAATCTTACTGTCAATAACATAGTTGCCTCACCCATATTCTTCATACCGAAATGTTTAGAGAGGAATTGTTTCACCTCATGCAACAAACTTTTATCACCGGTTGCAAGTAAAATGCCATCTACATATGAAACAAGAAAACAAATCTTACTCCCATTAACCTTGTGGTATATACATTATCCATGAGATTTTCAACAAATCCAAATGAAGAAATTACTCCATGAAATTTAAAATACCATTGATGAGACGCTTATTTTAAACCATATATAGACTTCTTAAGCTTACAGACCAAGTTCTCACCATCATTAGAGGGGAATCCTTTAGGTTGTTTATATAAACCTCTTCTTCTAAATTTCCATTGAGAAATGCCTTTTTCACATCCATTTATTAAGAGAATCTTTCTTAGATACCGGAGAGAAGGTCTCCGTGTAATCGATTTCTTTCTTTTGAGTGAATCTCATAGCCACAAGACATGCCTTATATCTCTCAATGTTGCCTAGTGAGTATTTATTAGTCTTAAAGACCCATTTACAATCAATAGTTTTAGCACCACAAGGCAACTAAACAAGATCCCAGACTCTGTTACTCTTCATGGAACTCATCTCTTCCTTCATGGCATTATTTTATAATTCTGACTATTTGCAACTCATGGCCTGTGAAAATGACTCGGGATCATTTTTTGTTCCCATACTGTAGTCAAGTTCTTTCAGGTACACTTCATAATCACTTGGAATTACTGAACTTTTTATTCTAGTAGATCTTCTTAGTGTTGTACTATTATCTTCCTGAGAAGCTTGTGGTTCAACTGTTTGTTCAGGATGCTCTGGTAATTCTTAAATTACATGATCTACTTGAACTTGTCAGTAGCTTATGAAATTTCAATGATTGGTTGTTCGACACATGTTTGTACTTAAGGGGTATTGTGAACTATGAATAATCTGTCACCTGAAGTGGAAGGTTAAGATTATAAATGATCACGCTAAGGAACTTTGTTCTTGGTTTGATCGCTCCCACTTATCAAGTCATTCTCAAAAAAATTTACGTTTCTTGATTCCACAATTCTAGTGTTGTGAGATGGACAGTAAAATTCGTATTCTTTAGACCTTTCGGCATATCCAATGAAATACCCACTAATAGTCCTTAGGTCCAGCTTCTTCTCTTGTGGATTGTAGATTTTCACTTCAGAAGGGCATCCCCGAATGCGTGTATGTCGCAAACTTGGTCTCTAACTTTTCAATAATTCAAATGGCATCTTTGGGACAGCCTTGGTTGGAACTCAATTTAGTTTTGGTTGGAACTCGATTTAATATATACACTGACATCTTAAGTGCTTCAGTCTACAAGGATTTAGGAAGATTGGAGCTACGAAGCATACTCTGCACCATGTCCAATAATGTTCTTCTTTCTGCTACACTATTCTGGTCTGGTGAACCAGGCATGGTGTATTGGGCAACCATCCCATACCCTTGAAGAAACTTAGCGAATTGACCAGGTGCTTGTCCATCTTCCATGTATCTACCGTAATATTCTCCACATCTATCTGATCTTACGATCTTAATTTGCTTTCCACATTATTTCTTTACTTCAACATTGAAGGTTTTAAAGACATCCAAAGCTTCCCTCTTATTATGAAGCAAAGAGAAATACATATATCTTGAGTAATTATTAATAAAGGTGATGAAATATTTTTAACCATGTGAGTCCATGTCTGGACTACATATATCATTTTGTACTAGTGTGAACATGTATTGAACTATAAGTGATGTTGTTTTGTAAATTAATATAATAAAAACCATCAGACAAAATATCATGCCCAACACAATTGGAATTATGTAATAAACTGAATGACGTGTTTGAAAA